CCACCTGGAAAGAGCAAATTGGAGATGGAATTCAGAACTTGGGTGTTGCACCAGAGGCATCATTGACACTGGGACAAGGACACGCTATGGCAGTTCTTAGACAAGGGAGCCTGGATGCAGAATTGCAAACTGAAATAGCAACGTACCAACTGGAATACAATGAGATCTACTTTAAATTGGTTCAGTTTCTTAACCAGCTTACAGTTAAGCCCTTTTGTAAGGCTTTTATTCTGCTGTGGTTTGATATCTGCCCTCAGCTATCCTGGAGGGCAAGTTTTAGAAACCCGCCTATTCAAAAAGAACTTGTCCCTGTCAGTCTGTGAATATCAAATCACTGGCCCCTGTACTCCTCTACTCTGATGTAACTTCTAGAGAGAGATGGATAGTGAGCTCTTAACATTCTTCCTTAGGCCATTCCCCAATGACCAGATGAATTTTATGTAAATCTCCTTCTGGCAAACAAAGACATGAAGATAACACAAGCCGTTGCTAAGTTTGCCTTTGTAGCCTACAGAATTAATGCTTTACTAATTGCAAATTAATTTTGGATTGATGTAGAGCAGAGTATTTATTGTATCACATCTTATTGTTTTTATTTGGATATCCTTGGTGGGTCTGTGACCTGTAATAAAATATTCTATTGTGAGAACCAACCTCAAACCCAGATTCTTGAAGGAAGAAGGCAGAAAAAGCAGAAAAGGATTACTCTAGGGGAAGAAGGAGAAAGGGGGAGAAAAAGAAACAAGAGGTTGTAAAAGCAATAAAAAAAGTCTGAGTCGTACAAGACACAGGAAATCATTAACAAAGATAGATAATTAGAGAGAAGTGAGATCAGGAGGAGTGAAGTGAATAATTTAGTGTTTGCCAAGAGAGAAAGTCTGTTAAATGCAGAGAAATCTCAAGGTTAAAAACTGAAAGCTAACTAAAAGGAATTAAGTTCAAAAATGATAGAAAAGAACAAATGTAAAGACATGATGCTTAATATTGACCCAAATAAGAAATAGCAGTATTTAGCAAGTGAACATCTTGACTATTTTGTATATATATTTATACAACATAGACTTCTTGTGGTAAAAGCCTAGTCTCTCTGCCTGGTTGCCATCACCCCTTTTAAAAATAGAACCTAAACAGAGGCCATCTATGTACAGTATTTGGCATGTTATTGTTGCAGTTTCGTTTTGCCCAGTTGCATTTGGAATCCATTTGGAAATGGAATTCATAAGCAGGACATTTCACACTGTAATCAGATAATAGTTTCATATGACCAATTGGCTGATTATCATCAATGACAGAGAATGTTAGTCAGTAAGGAACAAATGTGGAGTTCCTTAGTTGGATTCCACTGACTGGAGCTTAAATATCTGACTAATAAAGGGTTAAGCTCAATTTAGCATTTCAGCCAGCATGTTGGCTGGGAACTCGGAGCTGTAGGCCCAACCCAAAATTAGGAAAAGGCTTGTTTTAACATTTATTATTTATTTTAAGAAATGAAGCAGTTGTCCTGGTAAAAATGGAAGAATATGAATCTGGTAGAGGAGAATACATGTAGCTTAAGGTTGAACTGAGCTACATATATTTCTTGATGCTCTCTGAGTTCTTGGTGCTCTCTGAGCTTGTTTGCTTGCAGATGTTTCATTACCCAACTAGGTAACATCATCAGTGCACAGTGCCTGGAAACAAACAAACAGGCTCAGAGAGCCCCAAGAACTCCACAGGAAGAACATGAATGCTTAATATATGAACTTTATGAATGGGAGATGTTCTTCAAAACTCAGTCCATAGATGAGAATAAGCTATCTACTCATAACTGCCAAGCATAACAAGCTCTACTTCCATCTGGTGACTATTACCCATTCACAACTCCATCTTTAGAAGAGACACATGGAATCTTCATAGGATTGGGGCAACAGTTCATTATTATTAGGTTGACCAAGCTGTTGCCTTCTATGACATGAGTCCAATCCCACCCCATTCTTTCAGTAATGTAGGCCAAAGAGTTTTTTTTTTTCATTACCCACATCATTATTATGCAAAGTGGTCAACATGATTGATATGCAACTGCAGTGAAACTACATAACTGACCATTTAGGTATTATAAGTATCACTTCTCCTATCTCTCCATTTATTAGATGCAAGATGGTATCTTTAGATAGATCATAATATTTGCTTGCTGACTGATTATTAAATTGATCTATGGATGGCATGGACCTAAGCCCCGATACTTAAAAAAGGGAAATAAATATCCTCTGTTTCTGATCATGTGACACTTGCTAGAAGAATTGGTGTGCTGGGGTGTAGCAGCCTAGAGACTGAGGTACAAATCAGAAAGTCCCCAATTAATAATTCGTATCTGCCGTGATCTCATGACATGGCATTCGGAGTCTCATTTTCAGCCTATATCCCCTTGAAATATAGAAAGCATAATTCCTGACTTGTTTTATTTACAGGGTTTTTGTAAAGACTATAAGAAATCATATGTGTGATGTATTTGGAAGTGCTGCACCAGTGCTAGGTGCCATTTTTAAAAAGCATTACTATTTTGTTTTTTGGTTTAAAGTTTGGAAAAGACCTTTTGGAATTTTTTTCTGACCTCTAGTTAATTAATGTTGAAATCGTTCCTCCAGCAATTGGTGATTACTTGACTAGGAGATAGATCTGGTCCCATGAGAGTTAGGAGAATAATGAGAAACAGAGATCTGAATTTGGACAAGGGAATAAACAGTGTCTCGCTAAGGAGAGTTCTGCTCCACAACAGCCAAAAGCTGAGCTGCCTGGCCTGGGGCAACAGGTTCTGATACAGGCAGGAAGCAGCAGCCTCTGCTTCTTGACAGCATTCCTGTTGGAGCTTGTATGACAAATTAGGCTTTCAGGGCCAAAAGGTATTAGCTGGTGCAGCTGTATAAGCAGTAGGTCTACTATTATGAATTGCAGAAAAATTGTGTTGCTTTATTGTAACAAACCTAAGTGTGGTTTAATCACCGCTATGCTCTATTTGCATTGGAATGACTAGAAACAGGCTTTTAAAAGCAGCTTGTAAGTGAAATTTGTATTAATAAAAAAACAGCCATGACAAAGCAGCTGTTGCTTAACAATGAATGAGGCTGGCTTGAAAAATTAACTCAGTAGAACAATTAGCATCTTTGGCTTGCCAAGACAAAACTGTGAAGGGCTAGAATGAATCCCACACTAGGTTCTTGGAATAAAGCACCATCAAGATACATGAACTCTGTTTATGGGCCAGGAGTTCTGGAGTTTTCATCTGAAGTTTTCATCAAATCACCTGCTGCATTTAGGGATGTGAAATCGGTTCACTCTAGTAATTCTGTCCTCTTGCTCATCAGAGAATAGAAGAAGCTATTAACTATATTTCTTGCCACAAAACACGTTTTCTTTAATCCAGACAAGACATAAAGACATTCAAGTCTTCCCTCTCCTGCTGAGTTGAAGTGCTATCCATCCATACTGGCTTGAAATTTGCTGTATCCATTCCCTCTCTTTATCTTGCCTCTACTGATTCTGCTCCCCATCACGTGGATCCTTCCAACCCAGATCCTTCCAACTTATATATGGTTTTGAGAAACTTGACAAGGTTCTCTGTCTCTGTCTCTCTCTCTCCCTCTCTTCCTCCCTCATACTACTATAATTACTATTATATCATCCATGGTAATGGATGATAAAGCCATACAGATTTTGCACAACTTTACAGATGGATGGAATTGGAATGGGTGTGGGGATCATCTTTCAACACCAACACAGCTAAGGACAACATAAGTCTGTCTCATGTATGGGCTGGGGACATAAGTATGCCATCACAATAAAGTAAAAAACAGTGCTGCCAAGGCATATTTATGCTGTGGTTCAGCATAAGTGGTGTCATGGCTTTTACATTTGGAAAGCTTGATATAAGCCTTTCCTAAGCTGGAGACTTCCAGTAGGGCTGTATATCAGTTGCCATCAGCAACGTTGGCTGGAGGTTGTGAAAATCTCAGTCCAGCACATTTGGAGGACACCAGGTTGCCAAATAAATAAATACATTGCTCAGGTGGGAGATCCAAGCACACACTTCAATGACCTGTGTGCAAAAGTAGCAGTCGAAACTGCAAAGGACAAAAAGACTGCTGACATATGTTCATTCCCCAGGCCCACATCACATTGCACTGTACAATCAAAAGGTAGCAGAATGCTTACCACCTAAACATCCTCTTGTCCAACACCTTTTCCAAGGAAAATGTATTTTTTCCCATGCAGTGAAAATGATGGTAAACATAGATTTGTGGATATGTTGAAGAGACAGATTTCTTTATTACAGACGACCCACAAACCTTTAGCCTACATTACACAATGGTACGGACTTAATGAAAAGTTACGTGCTAGTATTAGAACAAAGCCAACATTCTTTGTAGAGCTATTTAAAAATAAGCTCCCTTGAATGTTTCATAGAATGAGACTGCAATACAACCAACCTGCATATGCAGGTATGCTCAGCACTGATTGTTGAAAAAAATGTTGCTTTGTCAAGTCAAACCAGAAACCATTCTCTTCTCCCACCCTTAGAAGTTTTTTCTACAAGATTCTGCGGAATTCTGAGGAAAGAGAGACTAACATGGCCTGTGCATCCACAACCTTCTTGCATGCAGCTTACATACCGATGTATTTCCTCCCTTTGGAAAAGGATCGCCTGAAAAAAGCAGCCAAAGCCAATGGGATGTGATTTGATAGGCTTTATTTGGAAGAAGGTAATTCAATTTGTTTAAAATTGGGGCT